GCTTGGCTAACACATCTGACAAAGTATTTGCTGATCTCCCCACCCACTGTACAGTAACCAACATATTCCCTGTCAACCAACTGAATTTCTTCATTTCATTCTTGTAGCGCCATATAGCCTCTTTAGGATTTTTCAACCAACCCACCACCACTTTGGAGTCCCCTTCGATTATTAGGCGTTGTACCCCCATTTGGTTTGCAAATTGCACCCTTGTACAACAGCTAATAGCTCTTCTTTGATAGAGTCCCCAACTCCTATGGGGCCTGAGTAGAGCAACAGAATCTCTCCCTTTTCATTTCTCAAAGCACCCCCCATTCCGGATAATCCTGGATTACCCATACTACTTCCATCAAAGTTCAACTTCAGTGAGCCTTCAAATGGAGGAAATCAGCTTGTAATTGCTTTGTCCTTTATGGATGAACACCTCGCTATTGCTAACCAATTTCTCCAAAGATCACTGAAGGAGAATTGATGAAAAATTTCCAAGGTCTTCAGCCAAAGTATTGCCCTATTCAGCACACAATCTTTCAAATCCTGACTATTCCTTTCCCTTTCTTGAAAAATCCTAGCATTCCTTTCTTCCCAAAGAGTCCAAATCAGGGCAGCACGAGCACATCTCCACATAAGTCTCCCTCTTTTTGTAGGCCAAGGGAAAGTAGAATGGTTGAAGAGCATGTGAACKTCTGCTGGTAGACTCCAACTACTCCCAAACAATGAAAGTAGCCAAACCCAAAAGTCTGCTGAAAAGGGACAGGATATTAGTAGGTGGTAACAATCCTCGCCGTGAGCTCTATAGAGGATACACCAATTAGGATAAATACAGAGGAAATGTCTTCTCTTTTGTAGGTTATTGAGGGTGTTTACTTTCCCATGGAATACTTCCCAACAAAACACCATAATCTTTGGGGGAACTAGCCTACACTAAATTTCCTTTGACGGAAAGGATTGTTGAGTCCTTCATGTCTAATGCTATGGATCCCTATGTAGGTTTGTTTATTCTTTTTTGCAGAATTTGGAATTAAGTAATCCATCTGTTAAAATATGTCCTAAAAAAATCCTATGGAACAAAATAATAAAAAAGACCATGTTTCTAAATTTGTCTCCCCCCTAGAAAATCCATTGGCACCTAACTGGGATTTTGGGTTTTGTAGAGGCTTAAGGGAGGAGGAAATTGATTGCCTACCTAGTCTGTTAAGCCTCCTTGACTTGACAAAGTTTGCTTAGACCCTTCTGAAGTAGATAAACGTGTTTGGGCACCCTAGCCAACTGGGTCTTTTTTGTGTGCTTCTTTTTCAGGTCCCTTTCTCAGTCCCCTTCCAACCAGCCCTTCCCTGTTAAGGAAATCTGGTGCAAGCCTATTCCCCCTATGATTTTGGCTTTTTACTGGGAAGTGTATTATGGGAAAATAAACACCTTGGATATTCTTCAAAAGAGAAGACCTTTCCTTTGTATATCACCTAACTGGTGTATCCTTTGCAGATCTCATGGCAAGGACTGTTACCACGTACTAATATCTTGCTCCTTTACCGCAAAGTTATGGGAGTGGCTCTTCTTGATGTTTGGGTGCAGGTGGAATAGGCCACCAGAAGTAAGCTTGCTTTTTGATCCTTCTACCTTTCCATGGCATCAAAAAAGAGGAAGAATCATATGGAGGTGTGGTAGAGCTGCACTGATATGGACAGTGTGGGAAAAAAGAAATGCTAGAATCTTCCAGGAGGAGAGGAAAATACAAGAATTGAAGGAGTGCATTCTGCATAGGGTAATTTGGTGGATAAAATCACTGGATTCATTCCAGCAATTCTCCTTTAATGATATATGGAGGAATTGGTCAGAAGTAGCAAGTTGCTCCCCTTTAAAGACTAGAATCAGTTTGAGTTGTGAATCCCCTCCTGAAGGTTTTTTGAAGCTGAATTCGGATGGTAGCAGTCAAGGTAATCCAGGACCCTCTGGAATGGGAGGGGTTTTGAGGAATGATTTGGAAATGTGGTCCTCCTTTACTTGGGTCCCCTGGGGATTGGGAACTCTACTAGCAAAGAATTGCTAGCTGCCATCCAGGGTGTACAGCTTACAGTTCAGCTAGGTGTGCAACCAAGGTTCAAAGTATCGACACGTATCAGCCCGTATCGGCCGATACGTATCGTTCCGGGACCCCTCCAATACGCCCCTACAGTGGGTGTATCGGGGGTCTGACCGGTTCAGGGTGTGGAGAAGGAGCCTGACCGGTTCAGGGGGTCTGACTGGTTCAAAATATCGGGCATATTGATATTTTGAACCTTGTGCGCAACAACTACTAATATTCCAAAGTGGTAGTGGGCTGGCTACAAAACCCTTAGTCTATCATGTGGAGCTTTAAGAATGAAATTTAAAAAAAAAAAAAAAAATTAAGTGGCTGATAAGGAGCCTGGCTGTTAATATTAAATGGTGGGAAGATCAGCAAATGCTTAGGCTGACTATCTAGCAAAGCAAGGGGCAAACAGAGAACAATTGTATTGGGCTCATTTGTAGTCTGAATTTGTTTTTTCTGTTTTCTGTTTCTTCTTGTTCTTTGTATCTCCAGATCTTTTCTTAATGAAATCTTAATCATTTATCGAAAAATAAATAAATGTGATATACAATTGGTCATAAAATTGTGGCTATGTAGGGGTATAAGAAACTGATTTTTTTAATTATTGGCTAATTGATAGAATTACAAATGCGGTTGGTGTTATAATTTTCTTATAGGAGAAGGAATCAAATATGTTCTGAGAGTATGTCAGCCCCGTTACATTTTGGAAAGCAGAATCAATATCATCCAGAGTAAACAAGTAAAAATCTGAAACTTGCTGCAGAAGGAATCAAATATGTTGGGGTGGGTAAATCTCTTCTTGTATTTATCTTAAGATATCAAATTTTATTATTTCATTACTTCTCGAGCCATGCAATGGATACATGCATCTCTATCAGCCATAAAGTGAAAAAGGCTTGGGTTCTTTCCAATGGTCGCACTTATTTCCACTTCTCTTGCTGATTGACAACCCCTCTTCTACACTCTTGTATAGTCTCTAATGCATGCAGATCTGTCAGTTCTTCAGTTTCTTTATTCAATTGCTCTATTCATGCTCAGATGCACAGTGGCATTTGGCTCAAGATGAAGTACAATTACATACAGTACAAGGAACACAAACTAGGGATAACTGGAGGATAGCTTTGTTAATCTAATTAGGCAACAGATAAATACTTCATATGTTTCTAAAATACCTTACTACATCCAGTTACCATCAAAATGACAACCAAAATCACTTCAAAGATAATAATAGATTCTAGCAGTCCCAAAAAAATCCAATATTTATCATGATTTTTTTTATCAATACAAATATTCATATTATGATTGGCTCTGATAAAACTATTTAAAGAACACTAGTTTCACCATCATAACCTACCTTGTCCCATCCACCTAAACTAGAACCAGAAGCGCTCCTATGCTCCTTGTTTAAGGTCATATCCTATGCTGATGGCTGAACTAACAAATTTTTTTCTCACTACCTAAACTAGCATTCTTTTGTTTTTATTTTTTAACTTGCCTTTTGAAACCCCGAGTTTGAATCAAATCATTCCTTACTATAAATTAATTGTGTCTCATTTGACAAGGTCAAACCATCGCAATTTACTTTTCAATTATCTAATGACCCTAAGGTTGTTTTTAGTTTGGTAGAAAATAAGAGAGAAACAGAAAGTTAAGGGAAAGCTCTTAAGGAACTCCACAAATTTTGTTAAGAACTTTCCCTCAACTTTCTGTTTCTTTCTTTTTTTATCAAACCCAACATAGCCTAAGTTCCTCAGGTTTCTCAGATTCTAATTTCACCCCTCCTGTATACAAGAAAATATTTTTCAATTGCCTAAATGTGCATATATTGTATCTATGTATGAGAGAGTTGCTCAATTATAAAACCCCAAGATAGATTCACTGAATCAGAGGCTACGCAATGACACTTCAATTAGGTTCGAGGTACAAAAAATATATATATACAAAAATGTCATCACTATCATAACACATGACCAAATAGAGCTCTTTTGCCACCACTTTCATAAGCCTATATAAACTAGAAGTCCAATGGAGCAAGGGCCTCTTTAATATGTAAGTAAAATCTCCATGGATTGCCAGATCATGTTAACATTATTTATGAGAGCCTCTTGATAATGACCATAACCTTCAGAAGCCCAACGACACCATAGACCGAAACTCTGTATCAGTGATATAAATTCAACTCTTACTGAGCTTCTTGCACATGAAATTACATTCACTTAATGTAAATGATGTAATACGCAAAACAAGAAATGTTGATTCAACAGAAGTAATATGTAAATTTGTAGTCAAAGTCAACAGAAATCAGTGGTACCAATGAAGGATAACCCAATTACTAATCGAAAAAAGAATGACATCCAAATTCAACTCTAAGAACCTTTTTCCTCCTGAAAAATGTAAAGTATAGAATAAATTTTTTTCCCTTATCCGGAGATGCTAAAATCTGGGAGATAAAGAACGACCTAGTGATTAGAGCAACCTTAAAATTGAATCAAATCTAGCTTACTCATTGAACAGAGCATCATGATCGTGAAGCATCAAATCCATAATGAATGACTGTTCGAAAAATAGACATGAAATAAATTTGAGAAGTTCTCCGCTATCCAGGATCCAGGGGAGGCACAAACAAAAGCAACTAAGTTTGAAGGATCAGAATAAAAAATACAAATATAATAGAACTTCACTGTATCAAACTACCAACTTTTGGATGGGAGACTATAAGAAAAAGAATATAATGTGCAGGATGGATGCGAAATTCAACAAAGCCATTGATTATGAAGCAAGAGAAACAATAAGATGAGATACACAAACCCAACAACAGTAGAACTCATGAAATTGGCGTACCCAAAGAAGAGTTCGATAAAATGCCACAAATAAGGAAGCAACCAACAATAATTAAACACCAAAATGAAGCATAAGAGGAAGAAAATTGAAGTACCTTGGTTCCAGGAGCGTGCTGGCGGAGCTCCTCTTCGGGGATGATGACAGGCCAGGCCTCACCAGCCTCACGAAACATTTGCTCAGTCTCGAGGAGTTGCCCCTTCTCCAGAATCATCGTCCTTATGCTCTGCGCTGCGGTGGAGGTAGCATCAAAAACCTCCTCAACACCATTGACGAAAGTCACAGTGATCTGAGGTGGATGGTCGTCTGTCCGTCGCTTCACCAGCAACTGACAGGCTGGGTTCGACTCCTTGGCCTTTCGTGCATTGCACTGCGCCAGGAACTCCATGCACGCCGCAGTTCGTGGGTCCAGCGCATTGAACTCGATCTTCACCTTCGATAGAAACTTCAGCATTCTGTCCCTTGTAAATCCCCTGTAAACTAAGACGACTGACGGACGAATTACGATTGAGGACTAACAAATATGGAGCGACATATATATACCGAGTTACTGACAAACCACAAAGGATTGGGGAGACTCTGGAATCCCTCCCGCCTTAATCAGGGTTGGGCGACCGGCGACAGGGGATGGCTTAGTGGTTTAACTCGGACCGGATTAGGTCGGGTTGAGGTCAACCCTATCCTAAGCACAAGGTTCTGAACCCCCAACCATAATTTTCAATTTAAGGGTTATCATAAAAAATAGAACCTAAAAATTTGGTTAATCGCATCAATCGGTTTGGTTTTGGTTTGATATTTTTAAAATGTTATAGGATCGATTCAGTTTTCAATTAACCTAAAAAAAACCAACGGTTAACTGAATTGATCGATATATATTTATATATTATATTTTTTAATATATGTTACATATTATTTATGTATTATACATAAATATATATGCATTATGTATATAAATGTATACATATATTATATTTATAATTATCTATTTTATAATGATCTATTAATAATATATAATATTATATATACTGAAGAACTAAATTGGTCAAAATCCAAAACTGGTCAACCGGTTAACTAGTGGTATCGGATCGGTTTCAAAAATTTGTCCATGGTTTGGTTAATCAAACCGTGAGCACCCCATAATCTTTGATCCAATCCAAATGTGGCATTTGATAACATTTTTCAGGTCTGAAAACTTTGCTTTTAAGATGCCACTAATGTTTGGGTTTAGGTTTAATTAGAAGAACTAAAATACAAATTCAGATTTGAATTGGTAATACTTTTCAGGTCTAAAAACTTTTGATTTTAAGATGCCAAACACAAATTCATATCTGAATTGGTAATACTTAGTTTCATTTCTTACTAAAATCAAACACATTTCATATGTGATAAAATGACATTAATGCTCTCATTATTGTCATCTATTTAATGATTACAACAACAATAATAATAATACTATTATTATTATATTTCAATAATATTGTTAAATATTATTTCATAATATTAAAAATAGTATACAATAATAAATATTATTACTAAATATTTATCATTTAATTAATAATAAATAATATTCTTATTTTAATAAATAATAGTAGTTAGAAATAATATTTATTAATAATGGTAATAATAGTAATAATAATAATAATTATGAGCGTCGGGAAAACGTTTCACTTGGGTTGGAAATGGAGTTGCCACTCATCAGTTAAGGAAATAGAGGTGATGGGACCTCCGGGACTAGTTAAACCAGTCTGGTTAAGACTTGGATGGGAGAGGGGAGGGGTTAGGTGCCCCTCTCCCGGGTCCGATAGGTGGGGCCCACATGGGTTCCATACATGCACAAGCCCTAACAAAATATTTCTTCAAATAACTAAGAACAATTAATAATCAATGGAACAAAATATATCAATAACGAACCATCACAAAAGAGAAATTACCTAGTTATTTCTATATATTTTTATTTTTTATTTTTTTATTTTTTTTTATTTTATATTTTTTATGTTTTTCTTTATTATTTTCCTTTTGAATTTATTTAATCATTTTTTTTATATTTTTGTTTGTTTTTTAATTTCTAACATTTTTAATCTTCTACATTATTTTTTTATTTTATTATTTTTATATTCATTTGATCTTTTATATTACTTTTCTCTTTCAGTAGTTTATCTTCCCTAAAGTCTCCCAAGTATGTTTGGACCAAGAAACCCCACTTCACACTTTTGTCCAATTTATTTATTTGTTCTTTTTTAGTTTTATTATTTTTTATTGTTTAGAAATTTTTTAACCGAGTTAACATGTCTTCTTAGTCGAGACCCTGTTCTCATTCTAAATCTGCAAACAAAAAGATAATTCATGCTCCAATATTCCCCTCCTATCTCTCCTTATTTTTCTTTTTTTATACATTTTTTTATTTTATCTCTTATCTCTCTCATTTCATAATTAATTAACTTTCTACACGGACCAGATTTGATCTCCAAGGGAACAGAGAGAAAACAACATAAAATGAAAGACATGATTAATTGGCATCATTAGAAGAACACAAGAAGAGGTAAAAATGCATAGAATAAACTGGCATTCCGTCTTAACAGATAAACGAATTCATACTACTGAAAACCAACAAGACAACTATGACAGATTCAATTAGGCTTCAAGATCTTAATGGGACCTGGTTCAACGACGATCTCATTACCAACTCCGACCACCATCCGAATATCAGAAATACGCTAAAGGGAGGGGGTGGATTACTGATATTGCTTGGTCCGAGGTAGTGTTTGAATTGAAGTCGCAGTCAGATAATCCTGCCAACTAGGCAAAGCCGAGGTGGAAGGACAAAGCTGTGCACCAAGATCTTTGAACAAGAAACTGGTCAAAGGCTCGAGGCGTTGTCCCCGAGTAGATACTCTGACACTCAAGTCAGTTGAGGAAGGTGGGTGGTCGGGCTGAGCTGTTAGAGAAAGGTGCTAGTTTGAGCAGAGTAATAGTATCAAAGTCAAGAGTTTGATCCCTTACCTTGAGAAGGAGGCACCTTTTTATAGGCAAAGGTCTGTGTCCTAGTCGGATGAGGCTTCCGGGGTTGTCGGGAAGAGGTTATCCGTCGAAGTCTTCAGGATAAGACCTAATCCCCAGCAGAGTTGCCTTAATCCGTTCTCCTATCTTGATCGTGCTTATCCACATGAAGTGGTGCCGACGTGGTCGAGTGGATAAGGTGGGTTGCGGAGGTGACGTGATGCTGATGTGGTCGAAATGATTAGACAGGTCGTGGAGGTGACACGTGGCACTCGAAGCCAGCTCAACCATAACCCAAACACCACTCCCCTAGTTCTGAAGTCAAGGAGTGAAGTGCTCAGCCGAGGTGTGTCATGGAAGAGTACTTCGGTCCTCGGCTAAGGAACTTGAAGTTGGTTTTTATTGAGCATGTCGTTGGGGTCAAATGGCTTGGGTTGGACCGATTTTTTGGACTGAACCATCCGGGTCGATTTTCGCACCATCTCCGAAATGGGTTGTCAAAAGCATTGCCTCGTTCTTCGAGGCTTCACGCATGCGAAGGACGACAACATCATTTCGTCTTCCCGAGGTGTCAGAGAGCAGCACCTAATCTGTGCCGTTGATCTACTTTGATCTGGACTACAAGGATATCTATAAAAGGGGGTGAAGAGCATTTCCCCTTTGTCATTTGCGAAGGGAGCACTTTCACAGCTCAATGAGAGGTAGTCTTCGGTTGCGTGGTGATTGCTTCAGTTTGCGGTCTTAACTCTCGGAGTTTGGTAAGATGTCTTCCTCGTCCACTGAGTTTTCCCGATCTTCTTCCTCTTCTTCGGCTTCCTTTGCTTCCGCTTCACTTTCTTGAGGCTGGTGGCCAAGGGACCAAGGTCGAGGACGTTGGGGGGTTCCACTTTGAGAGATTTACTAAAGCCAAGGATGTAGAGGTCGTCAACTAGGGTGGTCGATCTTCCTGTACATGCCAATCGTCGGTTCGGTACCACGTCGTCGTGCTGTTTGACGCCCAGAGACATGACCCGGATCCGAGGTTTGTACTGCATTCCTGGTGAGTTTGAGACTAGATGTCCGATGGCTGGTGAGAGCCCTACAGATGCTCAGCCGGGGAGATCTGTGTGTATGAGCACAGCCTGATGGCTGGGCTGAGGTTTCCGTTGCACGAGGGGCTTGAGGTGTTTAAGTGGTACCGGGTATTGCCGGTAGAGCTGATGCCTATCTCGTTCAGGTTTTTCATCAGTCTCATGTTGTATTGTTTCATCCACAATATTGAGCTCACCCTAAGGATGATCACCTATTTCCTTCAACTGAAGCATCACCAACAGGGGTATTACTACTACTCGACCAAGTAGTGCATCAAGGTGCCGGTCGGGACCCCATCTTCCGTGAAGCACTGGAAGGAGAAATTCTTCTTCATGTGTTATCCTGGAGGCTTGCCTCTGCCGATCGAGCTCCAGAGCCGAGGACCAAGGTGAAGCAGCCCAAGCTGGACTGGCTCACTGAGGAAGAAAGGGTGGCAATAGGGACGATTGAGGGGGTCAATGTGATGGATTACACGTCCTTCTCGAAATTGATCAGTGTTGGATTGATGAACAAGGAGGTCAATTTGTTTGTCATGCCAATTTTCCACTGTCTTTCTTTCCGAGCTATGTGACTTGTACTAATTCATCATTTCACTTACACAGGTGCCGAAATGGCGAACCACGAGGAGATCCACCGTCACATGAGGGTCGCGGCTGATAGAGCGCGGTCTCGAGGGGCTCAAGGGACCCAGCCCCATTCTACGGAGGTGTAGTCGATGTCCATGGAATGCACTCGATCACAAAATAGGGCAAGGCTGTCCATCAAGGAAGTCGTGGTGGTTGACCCATAGGAGGGTACTTCTGTTGTTCGCTCTCCCCCTCCACGAGATAATGTGTCGAAGGGCAACAACTCCGTGGTCTATGTGCTGCGGTGGAACATCCGACCAGAGGATGGGCTGGGGAGGGAAGGGGCGGTCGAGTAGCTACTTTGTGGTCTACTAACGCCGACCATGCGACGTGAACTATTCGAGTCCACAAGCAGCGCCCTGGAGAGCACTCTCGTGCTTCATGCAACTTCAGTGAGTCTTCTTGCTTGTATCAGTTACTTCGTTTGGTTGGTTACTCCTATTGATACTTGCTCTCTTTTTGCAGAATGCTTGTTTGGCGATCGCCGTGGTTGATCGTCTTCGAACGGTGAGACGCCTCTATGAGGTTGGGCAAGTCAAGGTGGAGCGGTCAGAGGCTCGGGTGGCCGAGCTCGAAGCCACAAATGCCCAGCTGGCTGCATTGGAGGCCGAGGTGGTCGAGCTGAGGCGCGATATTGAGGAGCGGTCTGATACGGTTTGTAAGCTGAAGGACTACATCGCCAGTCTGAAGGGTGAGCAGGAGGCGTTAAGGAAGGAGGCCGATGAGTGGGTGTCTCGGGCCAAGGAGGAGGCGGTTGCTCGGTTCAAGGCCTCCTAGGAGTACTAGCATGAGATGGATGATTTCGTTTCGACCTCTTGGGAGACGGGGTTCTATCTCTACCAAGATAGAGTCTTGCGTTGGCTTCTTGGTGCGGTTGA